AGACATTTTGTCGAGGCTAATGAAGTTGGGATACCTAGAGATACGACGAGAGAGGGGAATGGATGGGGTAGGATGAAATGGTGGGTTCCCATGTCCGCCTAATCACCTGTCGTTCTTCGAGCCTACATCAAACAAGCAATTTGATCAACGTGATTATTATGACAAGAATAGTTGGCAGCGTTAACGGTCTTGTGATATCTTTTCAATTGTCTTTCAAGATATATATGAAGGCGGTAAAAAAAGCATACTTTGTGCAGGAGACTTTTCTATATACAACCAGAGACTAAATTATTGTACAATGAGTGAGTGGAGATAGTATACAAAGTCATACAGTCATAATATGTGAGAGAAGATCCAAAATGCAATCGAAGAATTCCCAAAAAGGAGACGAAGAACATCGTATATACCACATTAGAACGCTAAATTTCATGCTTTCGCTTACTCTTGCGGGATTAACACCAGGCTAGACTTAGCTTCATCAAGAGAAACTTGAACTGTTTGACCAGACACAACTTCACCTCGGATGATCTTATCAGCCAAGCGGTTTCCAATCTCCTTGGCAATGAGACGGTTCAAAGGCCGGGCACCAAATCTCGGATCGTAACCTTTCTCGCATAGCCAGTCCTTGGTCTCATTGTCAACCTGTAGGGTCATACGGCGGTCATCGAGTCTTGACTGAAGCTCTCGGATTCTAATATCGACGATATCTCGTAGAGCATCCTTTGACAGGCGCCTGAAGATAATGAATTCATCAATTCGGTTCATAAATTCAGGTGGGTATGCGCTTTGAACCACATCCATAACAGCCGCTTTGACCTTTTCTGGGAGTTCGGCATCACCAGAGTCTTTAATTGGGTGCAAGGGGTCTGCTCCGACCAGTATACTAGCTCCAAGATTCGAGGTCAACACAATCAGGGTGTTTCTGAAATCGACCTTGTGGCCTTGGGCATCTGTCAGGAAGCCCTCATCGAGGACCTGCAGCAGTAGCGCTGAGATATCACGGTGGGCCTTCTCGAATTCATCAAACAATAGAACAGCGTAAGGCTTCCGTCTGACAGCCTCGGTGAGCTGGCCAGCATCATCATATCCGACATACCCGGCGGGGGAACCGATGAGACGACTAATGGTGTGCTTCTCCTGGAATTCACTCATGTCAAACCGTAAAACAGCAGTTTCGGTGGAGAAAAGGAACTCGGCCATCTTCTTACAGAGCTCAGTCTTTCCAACACCGGTGGGACCAAGGAACATGAATGAGGCCATAGGGCGGTTCTCTCCGCTGAGACCAGCTCTCTGCATTCGCACAGCATTTGCCACAGCAGTAAGCGCTTCATCTTGTCCACGGACTGATTTTCGTAGAGTGTCCTCCATGTGAATCAGCTTCTCCACGTCTCCAGCCATGAGCTTGTTAACGGGGATTCCTGTGGTCCGAGAGACGACGTTTCCAATGTCGTCTGCAGTAACTGAGTCATGAATCAAAGTTTGATTTTGAGGATCCTGCTCGGCGCCTTCTTTAGGTAACTTGGATTCAAGGTCCGGGATGGTAGAGTATCTCAACTCTCCAGCCTTAGCGAAGTTTCCTTCACGTTGGGCTTGTTCAAGTTCAAACCGAGCGCGTTCCAAATCCTCCTTGGTGCGTTTTATAGTATCAATTTCGGCTTTCTCCTCCTCCCATACCTCGGTCAATTTATCGGCCTCCGTTTTCTTGACCTTGAGGTCTTCCTGAAGCTTCTCTCGCCGTTCGCGGCTGGCAACATCCGTTTCTTTGCGAAGAGACTCAAGCTCAATTTGGATGGTGGTGATATCACGCTCGAGTTCCCGAATTGAGTCGGGCTTCGACTCTTGCTGTAAGCGGAGAGCCGATGCAGCTTCATCAACAAGATCAATCGCTTTGTCTGGCAGGAATCGATCGGTGATGTAACGATTGCTGTAAGTAGCTGCAGCTACTAAAGCACCATCTGTAATTCTGACACCATGGTGTACTTCGTATTTGTTCTTGATGCCCCGTAGAATGGAAATAGTCGAGGCGACCGATGGCTCGCTCACCAGAATAGGCTGGAACCGTCGGGCAAGAGCCACATCTTTTTCAATTAATCGATATTCGTTGAGAGTAGTGGCACCACAGCATTGGAGCTCGCCTCGCGACAGAGCAGGCTTGAGCAGATTGCTAGCATCAATACTTCCCTCAGCCTTGCCCAGTCCCAGCAAGGTGTGGAGCTCGTCGATGAAGAGTATCACCCCACCTTGCGCATCCTCCACTTCCTTTAGGACAGCTTTCAGACGCTCCTCAAAGTCGCCCCGGAACTTAGCTCCCGCAATTAAAGAGCCCAGGTCCAATGAAACAACCCGTTTGTCTTTAATGCTCTCCGGGACATCTCCTTGTACGATACGCTGGGCCAAACCTTCGAGAACGGCGGTCTTACCGGTTCCAGCAGCACCAATCAGCACGGGATTGTTCTTAGTTCGCCGGGATAGAATTTGAATAGTTCGATGAATCTCAGCATCTCGCCCAATAACTGGATCCAGCTTTCCGGCTTTAGCTTTCTCCGTGAGCTCAACACCATACTTTTCGAGTGCTGGTTTCTCATCCTCTCCACTCATATCCATGCGGTGAGTGCCACCTGGGGGGTGTGGGCGGCCCCCCTTAGCATAGTGGCGGACAGATATAGGGCTAGGGTTCACGGCTGGTTGAATGATAGAGGCGCAGGGCAGTATGCTTGATCTCGGGATCGGGGACAGAAGACGGGTCGATGATACGCGAGGCGCTCGCAGAAGCCGACTGCGGGCATTGAGAGATAATCTCGCCGCCATCTGTAGATAATAGATTCGGGCCTTGTGAGAAAAAAAGCTGTAGAGCAATTCAAGGTCTAAGATGTCACTGGTATAGCTTAAATACCGGCAACCAAGGTCCCTCGGGAGGCTTCTCGAAAGATCCACATAGCGAACGCTGAGTGGCGGAGAAAGCTGAAGCTCCGTCATCAGTCAGTCACCTGACTAGTCCAAGCTCCGTCCTGAAGTCACCAGTCAATCACATGACCATGATATCACCTGATTAATCTTCGCTCTTCCACGTTTTTCCGTGACTCCGTGGAGATTTTCCGTAATAAAAAAAAATCCTCCCTTTTTAACCCCTCCCTCATCTACTTTCTTCTCCTTTTTTTCTTCTCCTTCCAGATACCAACACACCTCTCTTTCACAATGGGTTTCACCGACTTTGTCTCTGATGCCGGCCTGACTCGTAGGCGCCCCTGAGATTTTGTTATTTCGAATCAATTGGTGACTGACTGTGCCCCTCAGTGGCCAACCACTTCCTGTCCACTCGGTCCTACGTTGTTGGGTATGAACTTCTCTCCCCCCCCTTTAATTGCGTTTTGCCTTTTTTATTTTTCCCTTTCCTGTTATGCTTTTATGATGAGAAACATTGGTCCGTGTTTAGGAGGCGGATTAAGACCCCGCTGGATGACTACAACCAATCGCGAGCAATCGCACCTCTGATCTTGCTTTACTATACTACATCGTTGAATACTCTCGTCTGATGTGAACATCAACGCTGACTCTGTTCAACAGCAACTCGCCCAGCCAGGCCGATGTCGTGACCTTCAAGGCCTTCAGCGCCGCCCCTGACGCTGCCAAGTACCCCCACGTTGCCCGCTGGTACAAGCACATCGCCTCTTACGAGAGCGAATTCTCCACCCTCCCCGGTGACTCCTCCGTGGCTTACTCTGCCTACGGTCCCGAGACCACCGAGCTTGCCTCCAACCCCAAGGACAAGCCCGAGGAGGAGGATGAGGACGAGGACCTCTTCGGTTCCGACTCCGAGGAGGAGGACCCCGAGGTCGTTGCCGAGCGCAACAAGCGTCTCGAGGAATACAAGGCCAAGAAGGCCGGCAAGACCAAGCCCGCTGCTAAGTCCCTTGTCACCATGGAGGTCAAGCCTTGGGGTATGTACTTTCCAGTCTCTATTTTATTGGTTCAACTGCTAACAAACATTTCCAGATGATGAGACTGTCCTTGAGGAGCTCGAGGCCAACGTCCGCGCCATTGAGTGGGACGGCCTCGTCTGGGGTGCCTCCAAGTGGGTTCCCGTCGGCTTCGGTATCAAGAAGCTCCAGATCAACCTTGTTGTTGAGGACGAGAAGGTCTCCACCGACGAGCTCCAGCAGAAGATCGAGGAGGATGAGGACCACGTCCAGTCCACTGACATCGCTGCCATGCAGAAGCTGTAAATTTGCGATGCCCATTTATGAAGCAGGAATTGTGTGATGGAAATGCGTGATGTCAAAGGAATCCTTTACGAACCTAGTCCAACTAGAAAGCTGGTCCAGTAGTGACCGGTCATTGATGAAAAATTTAAAAAAATTCATGACCATTTATATTCCCCCTGTAAATTGCCCATAGATGTGTGTTCATCATGCAAATGTTCTGATCAAACTGCCTTGCGTCCCTCTCCAACCTCCGTACCGGACACTCAGTACAGGTGTGGTAATTGCCCAGCTAGTTTTATAGTGGACAGATGTCGGCGTTTGGGCGTTCGATGTCTCTCGTATATCAACCCTCAAGATCTAAGTTATAACCAATCAAAATTCCTAGAGAATTAATCACACTTACCTAGTCACCTCACTGGATTATAGGTTCTATTGACGTTGCTGTCTCGTCATTTTTTTCTTGTGGGTGACTGCGATTTGACTTCACGGAAATGAGGCATCAATTCCAGATACCTGGGTACTACCTACATGTATGTATTCTGCATTGATAACGACGAAGCTTTAGAATTCATTGAAGGCTTATTTGAACGAGCATTGTTGGTTAACTCATTTGGTATTTGATAGATTTTTTCCTTCATCTCCAGATATATATCTCCACCACACTTTGGAAATATCCACAAAGCAGATTGCCCTAGATAACATTCAAATAATATATGTTGTTTTTAGCATTGGATTATTTGATTTTGACTAAACCTCGGTCTTCTGTTGCTCTATCTTACTAGGCATTAGCTAGATATATCATATTTTGGTCGTAATAACATACTCATCAGATGTGTTTTTTGGTGTCGACCGCAGACAACAAGATGGATCAAAAGGATGTACCCCGTCGATAAGCCTGACAAGCAGTTGCTCTAACTGATCAGCATCGGGTGCGATCGACTGTACAGCTCGGGGTATTGGGGTATTGGGAGGGTCTTTATACTGAGCTGCAGGCTCTGTGGCCTGCTTACCCCGACCGTCAATGAAATGAGAAGATGGGTATATATCGCTTCGCGGTTGTGCCATATTAAGAGACCGAAGGGACATGATTATGATATAAAGGCGAGAAGTTTCAGTGCGAGGATTTGATTACTATTAACGAAAGAAATCACCGCAAGTGCCCGAGGAAATATGCTCTTTATGTTTCTGTCTCACAGTTCATTCTATGGATAAATATACCGTATATAGTATGGACCGGGTAATTCAGAGTGCCTCGATCTTGATCTTTCTAGTTCCAGACCAGCTGGCAAATCCTGCATGGTCTTTCAAAATACGTGTTTCCCCTCTCTTTCTTGAACCGTATTTGATATCTGTGCGACTACCACTTTCAGCTATCTATGCATCCGTATCCGCCAAAATTGACGGAGCTTGCAGAAAAAGAAAAGTTTTTGGCTATCGTAGAGGTTGGCGAGGAAGCTCGGGGTTGGACAGCAGAATCGAACAGTGTTACCCTCGCTCAGGGGATGATCTACTGTGTGTTGTCCATTGGCGTCGCAGAATTTACCGAAAGGAAGTATATAGAGGAACAGCCCTGATATGAAGCCAAATACACCGGGATATTTCACCAATTGATCCCAGCATGTTCTTGATGACGGGCTTGTACCTAAGCCCGGTTTCGGGTTTGATATCGCAAAGGATGAGATACAAGGTTCACTGAATACACAGCCAGGAAGATACCTGTTTTATTAATCAGAGAATGCCCTGCAAAGACGGAGCCATTCGTCATTTTTAATATTAGAATGTACAACTGTAACAGATGTGATGAAATCCGAGCCAGTGAAAAGTTGATTAGGTAAACCGCGGGATGAGCCTTGGAGCCTCCACGAACCTCCCGCCAACGTATCAAACGGCACCAAGCACCGTCCACAGCCAGGGACTCCAAGCTTCATCTCCAATCATCCAGTGGGAGTTATCTAGAATTCTGCACCGATAAGAATACTCCGCAGCGACCGGACTCAACCACTGAACCCCAACTTGCAACCAAAAATCAACCTCACCACCCATCATGAGCTTCCTCTCCCGCGCGGTCACTTTCTTCGGCCTCGTCCTGATAGTTCACGCGTAAGTGCTTTAACCTATCCGCTCAACCATATCCATTCCCTTCTGAGCAAAGCTAACAACCCATCTTACAGAGGCTACTCGGCCCACGAACACACTGTCCTTTACAGCAACCTCACATCCACCGCCCTCCCACAAGACATTATCATCGAAACCCTCGTTTCTGTATTAATTGTTTCAATCGGACTGGTCTTGAGCGCGCAGAAGTTGAAGCCAATTAGCTGGCGCGAATGGGCGGGCGAGATTGAACGGGACGGCGGAGCGCGCAACCCGTACTTGAGCCTGGAAGAGCGTTATGGATTCTGGGATATTCGGGTGAGTTTTGGATCTACTTTATGCATGTCTTGCCAGGACTACATGTGGATTTGCATCTATCAAAGATATGCACCGATTGCTGGATATCGGCCATTTTTTTGAGCCTAGAATTTCGAAGCTAACATTTGGAAATTATAGGCCAAGCGAAAGGAGTTTGCGGACTGGGTTCGCGGTCAGGATGTGACGATCAAGGAGTGATTGTCGAATATTGAGTTTGCGAATATGTGCTGCAGTGGGGGGGAGCTGTATAATATGCATTGCGGCGAAGGAGTTCAGTTATCAATTGATATGCTCAGTTTGTTACTGATCATGACATCTACCTGTCCGGAACGGATAGCTAATATTCCGTACTTATATTGGAGAATAACTTACGGCATATGTCGGTGATGCAGGGGTGGCAAACTCTCATCTTCATGGGATGGTACTCTAGTGGCGACCGAGTGGTTGCACAGACATACCACCAGTGCGCCTGTCTGGCTGCTTGTGACCTGGAGAAGTGGGATCACTACCAGATATAGACGCTTTTGGCGCACCCGATTTGTATTCCTGCGCCACACTGCTGTAGGATGGCGATGGATAGTCTAGGCCATCAATTGAAAGTATGACTCCAAATCATTGTGACTATGCCAATAAGCAAGGGGGTTGATATCGCCTGGACTGTACTCCGTAGCAAAAGGCAAGCTTATTCCAGAGTCGTAGGAGAATGCTTGGCCTCAGCACAGAGAATCACACCCGTGGACATTCCGATGATCGCAATTCTGTATCTAGTAATGAGTAGAAGGCGAGTCGAGACCTAGGTGAATTACAGGTACAGCCATGTAGTCATGTAGATTGTATACTGTACGTATGATGTAGCTGTCCGACCTAATTACACAATATGCACGTCAACAGTACTACCTGCCCAGCTAGTCACAATAAAGACCGTCTGCAGTGCTCTGGGATCAAGCTTAAACCCCAAGGTGCACAGTGCGAGTATGTTGTTTAGTGCGGATTACTCCGTATGTCAACCCTCTTTGTCCACTTTGATACCCCGCTTGGGTAAGAATATGTTATTTTAGTTAAGACACTGCCCGGAAAAAGAAAATATAAATATAGAGGCAGTCCCTACTGGATGGAGTTAACCGAGCCGTTGACTTGTCTCAAATAGACCCACCTTAGTCTGATGATCTGAGGAGTCTACAAAGTACGGGTTGGGGTTGTGATGCCCAAAGCACCAAAAGATAATTTGTGTACGGAGTATTCCGTAGGGTAGAATCTGTAAATGAGATCTCGTTCAAACTGAGCACAACATTTATTCTTACATCGATAACATAATAAGACTATAATTGAGTACATAGAAGAAAAAGTATAGAGTTGACCTCGTCATACCTGATTTGACAAAAGTGATGTCTCACTTGGCAGCTAGTTCAACTTTCTTAGCCCGAAGACACGTAGGATCGCGCCATTTGGGACCCAATAAACCATTAATTACTTATAAGTTTATATTGAGTCAGACGTGAGAAAATCCAGAACTGAACTGGATGGCATCAAAAGGGATTCGTATGCCGCCACGCGGTCAAGGGTATCTATGTTGAATGTTGTAAGTTTCCAGGGTAAGTAAGCTTTCAGGCTACTGAATTACCCTGGGCTGAGATTGAGACATATTGTTATTCCAAGAGTATAATTCTATATTTGTTATGATTACTTCCTATCCAGGGTGGTCAGACGCGGCTAAGTTAGCTAGTGTCTAGGTACATGTTGCCACCATATTGAATCTGCCAAGTATTCCAAGTATTGCAACTATTTCAGGATTTTCTTTTAGATGAAAACAGAGGCACAGTATTCCTTTTGTTATTTTGTTGATTATATTTACCATGTAGCATTGTATATGTGAATTAATCCTTACAAATAACATGCAACACAATGGGGCTTATGGATTGGTGTGACCCCAGAAATCGACCAAAATAGAACCGCAAGACCTTGCAGATCTAAATGGCGCTAGATCCAGACTCTGATCGCTGACTGGAACAGGTATTCCATTAGCAAAGCCACCCGGTCTAATGTGTGTGCGCAGCAGGTAAACAGTCGACAACATGAGACTTGTTTCCCTGGACAACCATAGCCTTATAATCCCAACCCCCCCCCAGCCCTTTTCTGAGATCACTTTTATTCTCCTCTCCACATTCTCCATTTTTCCTACAATATTTCCTCTACCGATAATCTCTAATCCATCAAAATGCGTTTCTCTATCATCTTCACTACCCTCTCGGCCATCGCCCTGGCCAACGCCCAGAGCAGTGTCACCGTCGAGGTAGGTAGAACCAAAACCTCATACCACAATAACACAAGAACAAGATAAGCTAATCTATCCAACAGACTGTCGATAACCCTGCTACTCAGTACCTGACCGAGACAAACTCCCTCGGTGTTGTGACTGGCCAACCTGCAGCCGTCACTACCCAGCCTTCTGTTGTCACCAGCCAAGCTGCTGCCGTGACTTCTCAGCAGCCCGCCGCTTCCATTCCCGCCGGCCTGACCTCGCCCGTTGCCGGCCCCGGCGCGACTCACACTACTTTGTCCACTGCCTCCAGCCACACTGGCACTAGCACCGGCTCCTCTGCTACTGGCACCGAGACCTCAGACTCCTCTAGCAGCACTGGCACTGGCTCCTCCAGCACCAGCTCTTCTTCTGACTCCTCCAACTCCTCGTCCGGCTCCAGCGCCAGCTCGTCTACTTCTGCTTCTAGCTCTACCTCTACCGGTGCTGCTGCTATTGCCACTGCTGGCCCCGTCGGTCTCGGCATGGTTGCCGGTGCTGCTCTTGTTGCTTTCCTGTAAGCAAATAACGAGTCTGTGACTGGCCATCGGCAATTCACTGTCATCTATCGTACTGTGATGTCCACTTCGGTCTCATTTAGATGGCAAGGGTTTGGTTATGGTCGGTCGGTTATGTTGATCCAGTATCTGGATCAACGGGAATGAGGGACATGAACATGCGAACATCGATTTTTTTTTATGGGATTTGTTATTTTCTCCCAACGTTTCTTATGGAATTGTAATTCTTCATCATTGGGCAGGACTCGTGTGTTTCACCGCGTTGTACCCGGAGGCGCATATTCACGGCGCACCTGTTTCCAACTTTTCTTCCCTTCTATCTTTGTGATTAACTTAATACATCCCTGGGTAAATACAAATCTTCGTTCCTTGCGTATGTATCGAGTGCATAGATCATGACTGTGCTGCAGACATATCGCAATATATTAGCAATATGACAATGAATATTCCTGCATATGATCCACAACAGCTCGATGGCTCATTTTTCGTAGCAAAAAGCAAATTTTAATTATTGTAAAGGGGTGAGCGGCATGGGTTGTGATGCATATCCTGCGACAGTAGTTCATACACCATACATATATAGTCAGTCACGTTAACGAGTGGGTAAATTTGGATTTTGCCTAGAGCACGTATTACACCACATGTACTCCGTACTCCATACCCAGTCCACATATTCTTACAATGACACGGAAGGACATTGCTATAATTATTGTTGGGACTGGAATAGGATGTAAGGGCCATAGCTTCTCCTTTATTGTTTAAACATTATGCGAACAAGACACGAACTAGCAGCTGCTATCGCTCAAGGGACAAAATGTGACCATTTTCGAGGCAGCCACCCGATCCAAGAGATAGGGGTCAGAATGCAAATCACACCCAATACTTTGCCACTATTGACTAGATGTGGACTTGGCCATAGGCGCGAGGCTTTGGGCTGCCACTCCTAGACTAACCAAAACACTACGATGGCAGGATGGCTAGATCTCCGAAACGGCCCTCAAAAAAAACGACCATATACTGAACACTCATGACCCAAAGTATAACCTGACCCATAGCGCTACCTTGTACAATATGCATTTGATCGCGCTGTCAAGCCCACCGTGCGAGTGATTGTGGGATCTGAAGTAACAGCTTATAAAGTAGGTGGATGGTCAGAATAGGATCATTCTCAAGAATAGTCGTATACACAGCAGAGATCTCATTGTCGCGGCTGATGGGTGTCAAGCTAATTGAAAGATTTTGCATTACAGGAAAAGATAACCCGATTTCAACGGGCGACAGCGCATACGGAGGGCTCGTTCTGCGCGCCAAGCTTCAGAAATCTGATTCTCTTAGACTTCATCGAGGAGCGCGTTTTGTGGAAGCTGTATAGTCAGCCCGCGATGCAGCGATGGGTCTATAAGAATGGCGATCCTGTTCTGCTAGCTGACTCGGCGCACCCGATGCTCCAATATGTGGTCCAGGGCGCTGCAACCGCCATGGAAGATGCCGCGGCTCTTAAAATTTGTCTGAGTTTCTTGTCGCCTTCGCAGAATATCCGTGACCTGTTAGGGGTGTATGAAGGAAGAGACTTGCTTTCTTAGATCCACTATCGTTCGAGTGATCAGCAATCTCCTCATCGGGGTAAACAGAGCTCATTGATATCCATCTTTAGCTACTGCAATAAAACCATTGACCGTCTGGAGGCTATTTGAGGCTTGTAGTATAGCATTTATATCTAGTTGCATAATCTGCTGAGTTTCTTGGCTGCGTTTAACTTTAGTAGACAAGTAGATGCCTTATAAAGGAGCCAAATTATGGATTACAAGAATAGCCTGCTGCATTTGTGGCCTTGTGATGTCTTTTTAGCTGGTCTTTTTAGCTGGTCTTTTTAGATGTATGTGAAGGTGGTAAAAAAAGCATACTTTATGCAAGAGACATTTCTAAGTATAACCAGGGATGATGTACATAGCCAAGGTACTGCTCGACAGTATGGATAGCCCCGTCAGTGCCTAATTCCCTTCCTTCCTTTAGCTTTCTATGAAGGTTAAATTATTCTTCAGCAATAGAAGATCATACATATGCATGTGCCTCCTTCTTCCTCGTCCTGTAAGCCTGACGTATGAATGATATAATATGGGTAGACAGGGGTTTCTTTTTCTCTGAATAAGGATATATCTCGCAATTTACCCTTTGCCCCTCATTCCTAGCTTCGCACAATAGATGTCTCATCGGATAGCAAGGGTTATAGCAAGGACGTGGTGAAACATAGGGCAATCCCAAAGAGGTAATATTAGTTACGCGCACATTACGCGATGAAGATCACGTGACTGACGCGCTACCAAAAAGGTTAGTGTGACCTCCACTCATAACAAACCGTCGACGAAGTAACCATCTCTTATCATTGTGATTGTGATTGTTGTGCTTTCACTGGTCCGGATCACTTTCTGGATTTGCATTCTTCTCCAACCTAGTCTACCTTGTATTTTAATATCCTACAAACCACCCAAAGCTTCAGCATGGTAAGTCGTCCCTGTTCAAGTCATTGACACACATTGGTTCCCCAGCAACCGGTATATCCTCGTGCTCTGTATCTGACATGTATATCTAGCCGTCCAATTTGCGCCGGCTAGCTGCCGACCACGCTGCCTTACACCGTGATCTTCCGCCGTACTATTTGCAGCCATCGGAGGGCGACGACCTGTCACAGCTGACAATCCTCCTAACGGGCCCGGCGGGCACACCTTTTTCACAAGGATTATGGGAGCTTCATCTCAAGATGCCCAATGACTACCCCAAGAGCCCCCCAAAGGCTACTTTCAAGACGAAGATATGGCATCCAAACATGGAGGAGCTCACTGGAGCTGTCTGTGTAGATACGCTTAAGCGGGATTGGCAGCCAAATCTAACCCTCCGCGATGTATTGGTGGTAAGTTGGACTGCACCAGGGTAATGAAGCTCCCAACTAACAACATTACTTGTTTTCTATCTAGACAATCTCATGCCTGCTTATTTACCCCAACCCTGACTCTGCCCTCAATGCTTCTGCAGGCGCTCTCATGCAAGAGAACTATGCCGCATTCGCACACCAAGCCAAGCTTATGACTTCAATCCACGCCCCAATCCCACTCAATCTCAAAGATGCAGTCACCGAAGCAAAGCTCCGTGGCGAGGAGGCAGGGACCACACTCGAGGACAAAGAAGAAGACGCAGTTATTCAACGCCCGCGGAAGCAAGCTCGCACCCACGCCGCTACAACCAAGAAAACCACCCGCAACACCACTGCAATTGAAACCACATCACAGCCTCAATATCCTTCACAATCCTCCTCAAATCCTTTCGCCCAACCTTCCCCGCCCATGACAGACGACTTCGACAGCGAAAGCGACGACCCCGCTAGCGCAAGCAAAGAAAACAACCCAACTCTTTCCCCCTCCCCTGTCCACTTCGCGCCCCCAAGTCCCCGTAAAACTGCCTTGGGAAAACGTCCTCTCTCCGTCCTCTCGATTGCCTACCCGGAAGATTCCGATGCAGACATGATGCTCATTGACTCCGACAACGACACTCCTGCCATGACCTCCAATGAACGAAACATCACCGCAAACACACGTTCCCGTACTTCATCACCACTACGGAAAACACCTAAACTCTCCCTGCTCTGTGGAGGAGTCAACGCCTCTGGCCGTCTCCGTGATGAGATGCCAATATTCGAAGATTTGCCTCAGCTGGCCATGCAAGACCCCCTACGTCGGCTGAGCGGGGATGGCAAAGAGAACCGTGGATCTGCCACCGCGCGTGGTTTGAAAGAGAAGCGTGAATACCATCCCATGAAGACGCTCAATGGCTCTACTCCCCTTTCTCCAGTACATGCTCAACTACCCACGCCATCACTATCATCGTCATCTCTCTCAGGGTCTTCCACTTCTGGAATCTCCAAGAAGAAAGCCACGAGCGGTCTGCACAAGCGCCTCGCCGTCAGAGCAAAGCCGCGCATTGGCATCCGCCGCCTATGAGAAATCCATCCATTTATCTGCAAACTGGACATAATATTGATGGATTATTCTTGCATTGCGTCTTCAGATCTCTGATCCATATTGATGGTTGGGCGAAACCAAATTTTTGATTTGATTCGAGCTGGTTCTTTCACTTGGCGTTTGCTCTCTCTCTCTCTACACCTATTTCACTACCCCCGTTAGCAACATTTCTTGATACCCTTGATTGTCTGTTGAATTTAACCAGACTTACAAACTGCATGGAGCGAGGAGCGAGGAGAACTTATGGAGCTGGTTCTATTACTGCATTGGCAATCTGGCTAGGCTGGGCAAGGTGACCCTGGGGTTACAATTTGCTTTGGCTTGGACAACATATTTGTCTGATCTCTTGTTTAGGAGTTTAAGAATTCACATGACATTACATACATTGCTTGATATTCATTAGCTACTGTAATATCCGAGGGAAGCAGTTGTGAGCTGTGCCCCTCGGCCATCTTCCTCATGAGCATTGTGATCGGCTTTCTTCTCTAGCAAGAGCCGAGCAACACCGAGGTGATGGGTTGATAGTGTGAACACTGTAGTGCAACTTCTTGACCCTACATTCTAGGTAGAGCTTGCATTTTCGCAATGTCGTGATCCCCAAATCATGTTATTTACTGGAGACCTAATCACCAAATACTCTATTTGTACGTATGCAGGGGCACTGGGAGATGTGTAAGTTTGTAATACCATAGATTAACGGAAGGATTTCTGGGACTATCGAGCTGCAATGTCCTTCCCGCCAAGTTTCCAAACATTCCCAGAGAACGAGAAGAGAGAAAACTAGGCAAGCTCTGGCACTAAGAGATTTGCCCAGGTTTCAATTAAAATGCTCAAAAAAAGACAAACAACCGCTTTGCACATATAACAGGATAAGTATAATAATCCCAGGGCACGTCGGAAAAATGATGGGTAGAATTCGGGATAATTGGATGAAGCCACCGAGAAAAAGCGGAACCAAGGAAAAATGCTGATAACGATATGTTCGATCCG